TTTGAGAGTATCTTTAAAAAAGGTGTGTTCCTTTCCTTCAAAAAGGAAACTTCAAAAAGTTTCCTGCGCAACATTCTTCTGAAAATGACAAAGATCACTGAAGTGAACCTGGGCCTTCTGTAGGAGGCAACCAAGTGGGTGGTCCCATAGAGTGCCAAGAGATGCAGGTGCCAAATGACCCCCATCCTCGCACCAGGCAAGCATGAGAAACAGTAAAAAGGCGCACCCTGATCTACCATAAGGGAAAGTGCTGCATTGGTCAGGCCAGGCTGAGCTGCATGCTATTCTGAATCACAGTATTTCCCTAGACTGGAAGGAAATGAGTGAAACTAATCAGCTTACTAACTCTGGGGTGTTTACTGCCAGTGAGGGCATCAGGGCAGTTAGAGTCCTGCCTTCCCACTACCCCATGACCTTTATCAACTGTGTCCACACCATAATCTGATGGGTTCAGCTCACTGCCATTCATACCAGGAAAAATACTATGATTTAAAATGGCACACGGCTGAAGCTTGGTCTGGTCTGTGTAGAGTTTTGCTGTACCGTGTGTCAAGCCATGCTGGGCACATTTGCTGTCTGCAGCACAGCCAACAGCCAAGAACACCTGTTCCCACTGCTGGCAAGGAGGCAGAAATCTTGTGGACGGGGCAGGGAATAGACCAATGCCTACTTTCTCCTTAAACAAAATATGCCCAAATTCACCCACCCAAAAAACTTGTGCAGTGGTTGTTCAATTTTCTATTCCTTTTTAAAGAATGGGACTCATTTATTCCCTTTCTATTTTTGCATAATTGGGAGGGCACCAAGTGACTGACTAACCAGGATGAGGGGAAAATAGTAAGACAGAAAAGCAGCCAGGATTTGGGGGGTGGGGTGGGGTGGGGTGGGCGGGATCTTGTTCAGTGCCCTTATATTTTCCCTGTCCTTTAGAGTGGAAGGGATGCTATTTAACCTTGTTGCTTAGATAATTACTTTCCTTACTTGTAAGTAGAGATTCATACATAGGATTTTTGTAGAGTGCTACTACTCACTGCTGTTACTTCTGAAGAGTTATGAAGGGGAGTATTTATCAGAATGCTCAGTGAAAGACATGCATTTTCATTTCATTTTCATTTATTACACTTCTATAAAGTTCAATAGCCAAAGCTGTCTGGGTGATTTTAAAAGATTTATTTAAAACCTTAAAAATACAATATTGACCTAATATAAAAACCATTGACCTATAAGCAACCAATGCACTCATATTCAAGCAAGTTTAACAATGAACAGTAAGAAATCCAAGGAACCAATTAAAAATCCTTAACGGATTTTTAGTGGAAGGCCTTAATCTGGTGCTGAAGAGAGAACAACGTGGGTATCAGGTAGTTCTCATTTGAAAAATCATTCCAAAATTGAGGGGCCAACACTCTCACTGTTGTTCCAAGCTTCCCTGGGCTAATTTTGTGCAGACACTATGCAGATATTCAGACCAAATGTTATATTATTGATTGGCATTATAGGGAGAAGCCCCAAGAAGCCGTGGACTCACAGATTTCCTTCTCCCCTTCTGCACTGAGATTTTCAACTTTTGGTTCTGCTCTAGTGGCCAGTTTACCAATTTGTCTGAACATCCAAAGTATGGTTTGCACTTGCCAGGATCACAAACTGTGGTTTTTCATTAAAGCAACTTTTTTTTTCTTTACTTTCCTCAGTGTACTTACTGGAGCAACTAATATAGAAAGAGACATAGGGGCAAATGAATATTTTTGTATTATCTATAACAGTCTGATACAGAGTCCTATAATTGAGGACAGTCCTCAGTTTGAAGGGCTTTCAGAGGGCTTTTCTCTATTTTAAAATTAATTATGTTGCTATTATAGAGAAAGCTGCCAGTATAGAAGCAAAGAAAACCATTTCCACTTGCATGGTTTTATTAAATAAGAAAGAAGAGCTATAAACATAATCACACTGATATGAATTAAAACTTGCCCCAAGCTGTAAATAAGGCTATAGTGAATCCTCAACTTTTTATCATTCCAAAATAAAATAGACACCATTTTTTCTATAAAGAACTTATTAATTGATTCTCCCTCTCTGATTCCAATCACATTAATTACCTAATCAAAGCTATATTGCAAATCCTTACATACCAATCATCAGTTGTTGGATTAACTCAATGCTACCTATAGCATATTGTCATACAAGCAGGTGTCAGGAAGAAAATAATTATTTTCACATCATCAGTTGGGATAATATCTTTAACATATTCAGATAAAAATATCAGTGGGTCTAAAGCAAGGTCAACAACTACAGTATTCCTCATCATGTCATCTTCTACCATCCTATACAAAATTTAGTATGTGGGGGCCAGGCCAAAAAACATGGTATATATATGCTCCACAGCATCAGCTTCCTCAACACTTACCATTTAACTACTTATAGACTTCACTAACCCTAAATGGTGTTAAATAGCATCTATAGAGTAATTTATAAAAGTTCTCATTAAAATCCATATAGAGTGTACTCTCTGAGTTATATTCTATAATCCAGTCACAAACAAGTAATTTGCCTTCCTAAAGGCAATGAAATGAGGCAGGTGCATTTCAGGTGCAACCCTATGGCCTCTTGAGTTTATCATGGAGGGACAGGATTATCTGGAGTACAAGCTCCAGGGGCCTGCAACATTGGAGGTAGAACTTGGAAGTAGAAGCCCAAGGCCTGGCCTGGCCTGGCCTGCCCCCCCACCCCTACTCCCTGCAATTGTTGCCATGGAAAGAAGCACACCAGCTGCCTTTCTGAGAACACAACTGGACCTCAAACAGGCAGAAAAGGGGTATGCCAGAGGGGAGCAGGCTCGGACCAACAGCTGACAGAAACTCTTATTGGTACTCCAGCCTTCTTTCCCTGACAGCTGATGAAATACAAAGATGGCTGCAGTACCTTGCTTCATGCATTGGATACATATAGACTTCAAAGTTCAAAGGCTTAGATGCATCTACAAGTGGAAGGCACCAGATGTTGCTCAGTTATAGTAAGGACCTTAGTCAACAATATGTTCCTTGCTATATTACGGTTACTGGTAATTTTACAAAATTGAGTCAGAATACCCTTATGTATTTGTTATTGTTATTTGTTAGCCTGGCATCATTATTTGTTTTTCGGCGCCAGGCTAAGAACTTTTTATTCAAACAATATTTTAACAATGTTTAATATTTATACGTTTTAATTGTGCAGTTGGGGTGTTTCTGGGTTTTAACTGTATTTGTATTATATTTATTTATTTGTGTGAGCCATCCCGAGGCTATATAGCAAGGGGACAGCATACAAAAACTTTAAATAAATAAATGTACCTCATCTGATATTATTGCTTCAAAGCAAGAACATATCAACCCATATTTGGACATTAAATTAATCTACAGATATTGAAAAATTGAGTTTTTACATTCTGTTTCCTCATAATGCATTGATAATTGTTAATATGAAATATTTAACAAATTTCTGCACTGTATTTGTTCATACTTCTCTCTCAAATTCATATTATCTAACATGGTTTAAAGTTCAATTTGTACAGCTTAATTAATAGCAGTAAAAGATAAGGGTTCTAGGCTCTATTTATTCTTGCATAATTTCTAGCTTCTGGTTTATTATTTCAAGACCAATATTAATTTCTTGTAACAATTTATTTTGATGGCTTATGGTTTTAAGCCACCAAGTTAAGAATACTTTATATACCAACTTATTCCACTGGGGAATTTCTTGGTGGGATTGAATGTTTTAGCTATATAATCCTTTTCTCTCTTTCCTAAACTAATACCTATCTGATTTATATGAATTGATTTTATATCCTGATACCTGACCAAAGTTTTTAAGCAAATCCAAAACCTCCCCCAACATCTTTGTAGGATCCTGTAATATCACTGAAGTATTATCTGCATATAAATAAGTTCTATAGAATTCATTTCAAAACTTCCTTTTTTGTCTTTGCCCAAATAATTTCAATAAGCAGTTCTACTGATAATGCAAAAAGGAGGGGATTGTCACCTGATTTAACCACGGTCTATATTTGACAACCATGGGCTGTCCAGTGCAAGTATAATTAAGATAAAGATGCATCAGAAGTTAAAACTGGGCCTCTGGCAAGAGCATCCACACAGCAAACTTAGCAAGGTACACATGGGACACCTGGTCCATCTGCTACACGGTGATGAGATGAGATGAACTGTATTTCTATTTAAACAATAATGTCTGAATTTTCAACTATCCATATATTTAACATATGCAAATAAATGCCTCTCTTCTATCCTCTTTTTGGGTGATTTACAGGTGTCCATCAAGAGACATGTCAAAGAGTGCCTCAGAGCAGAGAGAACATTTGTACATCACCTTAAAAAGATGAGAAATAAGGACACCATTTGCACAATATTTGCATACTAATTTCTTTGTATAAATGTAAAGATAGGAATAACATCTATAATTTAAATAGAAATGCAATGCTTTTTACCACAGTGAGACCTGGTGACCTATGTTCCTGCTCAGAAAACATCACAGTTCCTGCACACCCTTCTTAAGCTTCTTTGACTTTCAAATAAACTTGGACTGGATCATCTTTCAAATACACAGCTGTCCTCTGTAGAACACAGCACCTGGCCGTCCTACCTGTGGAATTCATCGCTACAGGAAGTAGTGATGGACATGAAATTACCTTTTAAAAGGGCCTGGGCAAATTTCATGGAGGAGGCAACTATCAATGGTTATTAGCCTTGCTGGCTATGTGCTACCTCCATTATGGGATGCCTGCATGCACCAGCTGCTAAGGAGCTTAGGCAGGCAGAGCTCTTGCACCCATCTTGCATGAAGGATCCTGTGGGCAGCTGGTTTGCCATCATGTGAACAGAGTGCTGGACTAGATGGACCCTTGATCCAATCCAACATGGCTTTATTTATGATAAGTACCTAAAGCAACCTGATGTGCATGAAGGACAGAACCAGGAGAAGAGAATAAGGAGAGCAAAGAGTTTTACCTGGAGCCCCACTGATTCCCTGTAGTAATAGAGAAGATGCAGAAGTGGAATTGTATCAGTTCTACTTAAAGGCAGAGGTATAGTAGAGGCAGGATGTCATTGCGGGCATAAGAAGTCAAAAGGGAAAGCACAGTTTGTTGTCTCTAAGTTCAGTCTTTCTGACTATATTTGCAGTGAATGCTGGAAATATGGGGTCCCAGTTGTAGATGCCATCTTGGTTTGCAGCATTGCAGGAATTCTGTTATTCTCTGGCACATGGCAGCTACCAGTTTTTTTGTGGTGGCCATCATTTGTAAATTTTTAAACTTACAATGCCATGGAATGCTGGAACTTCAGGGGAACTAAAATGGAGACCACAAAAACCACAGTTGCTGAGGGCCCCAACATTGGTGGGTTCCAGTAGGTGGCTTTGAACCTCAGAAGCTGCCTGAGTATGCTGAGTGGTAAAATCAATGTTGCCTGCTCTCCCTTTAACTTTCTTCTTCAAAACCCACTGCTTTCTTAGCTGCTTTAATAAGAAATTGACCAAATGAGAAGAGAAGTCTCAGATAGTTCTTGAAAGCATGACTGTGGGCAAGGGTGGTTGGATAGAAGTTTCCATGGCAGCAGAATACATTTTCTTCTTTTGTATTCTACTCCACCTTTTCAAAATTTGTAAAGCTCCATACTCTGGAAGGGTGCTCATCTCAGATCTCACCAAAGATAGATGGAAAAGATGTGTTCCAAAACATGGGAGGGAACCTGCAATAAGAACCACAAGCAATTGTTCTTCCTGTCACCTCTCATCTCCTTCACATGCAAAACTGTGCTTGCAGCCAGGATAGTGCAATCCTATCCACATCTGTCGCTATGCAGTAGTGTGTTGTTTATGCAAATCCATGTGACTTACTCCAATGTAAGTGTGTATAGCAGTGATGTTGAACCTCTTAAGACTAAGGGTCAAGCTCAAGTTTAGAGAAGCTCTCAGAGGGAGTATGTTTATGAATGGTGGGAGGTAGAGCTGAAGACAAAAGAAGTAGGGCCAAAATGCCAACAACATAAGCATTTTTTAAAGCTTAAAACTTATATTGTCAGTTACTAAACATTAAGAGAGACTTTTCAACCATTAGAGCATGGGAGGAAGGAGTGTGGGGAAAGGACTGAAAAAGGCTGGGAGATACCAAGAGAAAGTGGCCATGGGAAGGGTGCTTGGCCACCTAAGTAGGGGCAACTGGGACCACATGTGGGACAGATGTGGTCTACTGGCCTGAAGTACAGCATTCACACTATGTAGGATTGCAGCTTTAGTCTGATTTTTAGTACAAAGAATCAAACTAAACTTAAAACCAAGGCAAGACTTCCAAGTCTTGGATTCTAACCCCAAATATCCTTAACATCTGTTAGCAATGGTACTAACTGTGGAGACATTTCTTGATGTAAGTATTCAAGGATGGTATTATATCATCTTTCAGAAAATGAGCACATGTGGGATGCCACAACTTAAGATGTTCAGTAAACTCATCCTTGAATGAAGGATGGGGAAGAATTGCAGAAGAGGGAAAGTGCTTCAGAGATGCTCAGATGTTACTGCTGACTCATCCTAGTCAGCACATTTAATAGCATCTCTGTGGTAGGTTAGGAAAAAGTACATGTCTGTGCTTCTTCAAGGTAATATGTAAGCATAGCAAAGGGAGTTGTAGCCTAGTACACCTGGAGGGCACCAGGTTGGGGAATGCTGGTCTAATGCATTATATTTATAGCATATGCAATCACATGATTACCTGTGCACAGAGGGAGCACTGAAGCAAGTTGTATGTTGCACCAGCTTCCAAAGCTGCATCTGAATTTAGCCTTCGCTGTGCGCACTAGGGCACTGTGGCCTAATATTATGAATACCAGGGCTGCCAAATAGGGTTTTATTAATAGTGTGAGAGGTGTTTATTGCTCAGCAACAGTCACTAACTCGGATGTAATGGATATTACATGCCAAGGTCTGAGATCTTTGTTGTTATGGAGTCAGCGCTTTCATTTTAATACTTTGTTCAGCTCTCAGGAGGAGCAATGCCTGGGCTTTTTGGAGCAAAGTTTGAAGCCAGTGTCTGTCGTTATCTTTACTCCATGTACAAGAAAGAGGTCCAGGCAGACAGGTGATCTTGTTTCCTCTTCCCTCTCAGCCATCTTTCCATGCAGCGAGTAGGTTTTTAAAAACAAAACACCAAAAATACAAAACCCTTTGTTGGTGGATTGTAACTGGAGGGACCCCACCACAGCTTCATTCTCCAAGGGTTCTCCAAGAAGCACAGTTGTGGCCTGGAGCCCTGCAGTTATGGCTCCTTTAGCAAGCATGCTAACTTTCAGTGAACAGCCCGTGTCCACCCACACATGGAATTCGACAGTGTCGCCTGCCAATAGTGCAAGTCCAAATAGGACTGCAGTGAAATGGCCAATCATCTGCCACTTACGATGCTGCCATGCGATCTGCCGTGCCAGCTCATGTTGCTCAGATGAGAAGGGGTTGAATATTTTTCTCCGTTCCATGAGGTTCTTTCAGTCCCCCACCCCACACCCATGCTACATTTGCCAGCAGAGGGTCACCCCCATTCATTCCTGATTTCCTCCACTCAGCAAACTTGGGGGTTAGGATTGTTCTGTAATGTAGAGGTTCACACAGAATTTATTTTCACTCAGTTCTGTAGTCAGAAATTTGCCTTTAATGTCGCTGAGGGAAACAAAGCAGGGATACCAGTAGTCATTAAAAAAAACATATATGCATAGTTATTAAATGATTGGGGGGTGGGCATTAAATTACATTTTATTAAAATTTAAGTGCCAAATGCTTGTCAATCATTGAAGTACCCCTGTACTCACTAAGAATCCTGTAAGCGCAAGGCAGAATTACTTCTTTCTGAGGAACTCATAAGGAGTAAGAAATTTGTATTTTCATTTTTAAAGATAAAAGCTGAGAATGACAGGAAGAAGCCTGAGGTCAGTCCCCACCCTATACTTATAGCTTTGTATCCACATGGACTTTATATTAATCCAAATTGTCCTCCCCCTCTCCCGGCATTCAAAAATATACCTCATCTATGGGGGAAGCATTTATGGTAAGAGGGAGGTACAGCTTCAGGCACCCAATAGTATTTCCTTTGGGGTTTTCACTGTGGTCAGAGTTGGGTGGGATTGTGAGAGCATCTCTTAGTCATCATTTCTGGAAGCAATGAATGAGGATGGGGGTGGGACAGAATTCTTGGGTCTATAGTACACTCTGTTTTAGTAACACCAGAACCAGCCATGTAAACCTCATTTTCTGGAAGTGAGAGGCTCCCTCCATCCTTGGACTTAAACTTTCAACACAGAAAGTTTCCTCCCTTGCTTCAGAGGAAGCGGCAACAAGACTAATGGGCTTCATCTCACACCGCAGAGCCTGCTGTGGCCCTTTACTATGCAATCAAGTAACTGCCAAGTGTCTATTTTACTCAAGAAAGACATTTCCTTTCTGGGTAACGTTTTGAAAACTACCAAAGAATAATTGTATTTATACCATATGTGATTCAGCTTTCATTTCAGGGAAGCAATCATACACACTCTGAAGTAAGCATGTATAGGATTGCACCCTTGGAGTAGCAGTACTTGGAAATGTTGAGTCTTTATTTCCCTTACAGTCAAGCTACATGTTTCTTCTTGACCCTTCAGGTATTCTTCATTGCTGACAGAATATTCAAAGCTTGCATGTAGCAAAAGACACAAGAAGATCTAACATGAAGCCTGAGAGTACATACCATTAAATTCAGAGAAGAGGCATAGAATTGTACTGCATATGTCTTAGAAGCAATGCAGAAATTGTTTCTTAAATCACATAGGATGACCCACTGGCACATCATCAGTGTTATGGGCTGAAATGGAGCTTCCCTCCATCATTGCTAGGATTCATAAAGCCACAGTTACTTACTGTATTATACTCCAAAACTGCAAAAAGAAAAGAAAAAAAAGAATCTGTTAAAGCATGGGTGGCCAAACCAGGGCAAGGGAACTGCATGCGGCTCTTTGGGTTTATTTTGCAGCTCGCCACTCCCCACCAGCAGTGCTCATGGGTGCCCACTTGTTCCTTGCTGCCTCCCTCCACCACCCATGGGCGGGCGCCCACTTGCAGCTATCAAACATCTGACATTTACCATATGTGGCTCTTTCATTCAGCAAGTCCGGCCTCCCCTGGGTAAGAAGAACCTGAGAACAATTACTGTTGTTGAACCTACCTTCTCTCCTTTACAAATTAAATCTGCAATCCAGTAACTATTTACCTCAGAGTGGATCCTGTTGAACTCAATGGGGTGTGCCGCTGAGTAGACATATATACAATTGCATATTAAATTGTGTTTCCCAATGACACCATTGACATATTTTATGGTAGATATGCTGATGTCCCTGCAAATCAACAGTGTTGTATATAGATGGACAAAAATCTGTAAAAGATACAATATATAGAATATTTGGTGTAGTCCACAATAAAAAAATCAGTGATAGATTTATTACATAATTCATATCCTGGGATGACAGATCCTGATAGGTTTATTAATTCGCTGGCTACTTAATGCAACAACACTGAATGCAGGGGCAGCTGAGAAAATAAGAAATGTATATTAAATCAATTGCTTCTATCAAGTTGCAGAATTGATGGTGCAGAATTAACTAAATTTGTAATTTATAGGCTAATTTGTATTACATACCTTGGAGTGCTTTGCTAAACCTATCCTGAATTTGGTCTTCCTTGGTTACATTGCCCATAATAGTACTTCTATATTTATCATCATTATTTTACTTCTGTATCATTATGTTATCATATTTGTTTTCAATCAATCAAGTTTTGACAGACTGACATATCTGACCATATGCTTACAGGGAAAGGAACATAAGAATGCAAGAACATATCACTGAAAATATTCTGTAGTCTTATGACAGTATCAGCACCTATCATCTAAAGAAATGATGGGCAACTTGGTGCCCTCCAGATTTTTGGACTACAGCTGTTATGATCACTGATAATTGGCCATGCTTACCATGCAGGCTTACTTGTCACGTTGTGTGAACACAGACACAGGCTCAGTCTAGCGAGCTCTGACAGAGCTGGGAAACACTGCTAGGGTTGGGGTTGCAACTGACTATCTCCGCTTGGCTTTTCACTGGAGAGGTGGGATGAAGGAGTAGAAGCAAGTCCCCAGGTTTGGGTGGTGTATAAGTGCATTTACTCACTTAGCCAGTACTGAGGAGAGTTGCTCCCCCAGATTTGCATCAGCCAAATCTACCTTCACCCTCATCCCCACTGTTATCTCCAAGCCCAGCTCTATCCTGAAGCTTCATGAGTTACATGCAGAATTTCTGCTAGCCAAATGAGCTCTGTGGACTGGAGGTTACCCAGCCCCGGGCTAACATTATTCAGTCATGCCCTCAATGTCTCTTTACAGTCTCATAAACATTGGCTATTCCCTTTGCTCTAGTGGAGAAACTGAAATGCCTGTTCTGGCATATTAGACTTCTAAGTTGTAAGTCTGCACCTGCTGGCTTTGTTATTATAACAATAAGGTAAATTCTGTGTAAGCTGTTTCTGTACTGGATTAATTGTATCCCCCCTTTATGTTGTCTTTCAGTTTCAAATTTACCTTTACCTGGACTAAATGTTGGCTCAGTTCTCATTTGAATATATATTACTATATATATAGGCCATATACATATACACACACACACAAACACAGGCCTAAGACCCAGCTTGCTGTTACAGGTTCACTAGCAGTTTCACTTCCCAGTCATGTCTGTTCTCAAGTTAGCCAGTGTAACCAGTATGTACCAGCAAACCTGGCTTCCAGCATGAAGCTTTGGTGACCAAGGTCTTGCATGAGAAGGTTTCTGCTTTGTTTCATCCCACTACAATCAAGCTAAGGCAATGCTGGTTTATCAATATTGACTGACAGACAGAGCAAGTGAGCACTATCACAGACCAATTTAAGGCAACTCACATACATTGTCCATTTGTATGTTGCCTACCATTGGATACAAGTGTGAGAATTGATTGTATGTAGGAACTGCTGGATTTATGAATCTCAGTCTTGCTGAGATTTTTTTAGAGCAGCCCTTTTCATCCCATTTCCACATAAGCTGGGCATTTACATATTTTTTGAAAAAATTATTGACTAGTGAAGCTTAGGGAAATTGAAGTCCAAAATATGGGGAGGAGGGGTGTTACCAGGAGAGTGAAGACTGCTTTAAACTATCCTGCTGCTACTGTTGATATAAAATGCAGCTACCAAACCATTCAATTATGTACATGGAATTCAGATGAAGGAGAAAAGTGAGTCAGAAGGGGTCTCCTGGGCCATATAGTCTGATCCCCGCATCCAGCTGGCTCCTCTCATGTAATCATGTATCATCTCATCCTTTGCCTCATACAGCAAAATGTCTTGGCTCACTGATGATCTGAAATGCAGCTTTAAACTACAAAAAGCTTTAATTCTACCATATAGTTCATTTGAAGTACCTTCCATATGGAAATCTGTGATATTTAAACCAGTTCTAATAAGCACAACTGTAGGGAAACATCTCCCACAAGTGTTATTAATATAATCTACAACCTCAGAATAAAATCACCTATAATCCAATTCATCCACTTTATATTACCCTAATAGGTTTAATTAGCCTCCAACTCTGCTCTGGTCAAGCTCATCTCCCTTTCAAAGGAAGTATTTAAAGGCAGACTGGACAAGGTTCAAGTAGTTCTATCCTACATCTTGTATGACAGAAGAAGCTGAGCTAGGTGGTCTCGTCCAACTCTATGATTCAATGAAGCCTAAGAAAATTATGGTTATGATACCTCAAGCTGTCTTCCAACAGGAATTAAAACATACAACACATTAATGGTATTTTTAAAGGCTGAAGCATCACAGGAATTGTCAGGAGGCAGAGGAAGGTCTTAATTTGATGCCAAAAAGATGACAGTGTTAGTGCCAAGTAGATCTCATTATGGAGAACACCACTTAATTATACACACACACATACACACACCTTCTCTCCTGTCTGTGTAATCCAAACCTTAACTGAAAGAGGGCCTGAGATGGTAATGGTATGAGTAGGCTCATACTAGGAGATGAACTGCATCATGTCTTGTGGTGTGAAGTTCTATAGGTTAAAAACAGTAACCTAAATTGGACTTGGAAAATGTACAGGAATTCAATGCAGGTGGGCCAGAAATAACATTATATGCCCAGACCTTTCCTACCGTCAGTTTGGCCGCTGTGTTTTAAACAAGCTGCAATTTTCATATCCTCTTGAAAGGAAGCCCCACACAGAGTACATTTCAACAACCTAACCTGGAGGTTACCAGGGCAGGTTATCCCTGTCTGGGCAGAGGCATAGCTAAGTCACCAGCTGAAGCCAGTAGGCTGTCCTCCATGACACTGAGTCTCATGTGATAATGACGACTTCAAGAGAAGCAATGTTCCTTCAGACAGGATGCAGCCCCATATATAATGAGCTGAACATCCTCCATCTAGTCAGAAGAACCACCCATGTAGATTATGCTAAGTCAGCAAAGAGAAGTCCTGAATCTTTAACAGTTAAATGAGCTATTTTTCATAATTACCATTTTCTTAAAAAGCCCCCCCCAAAAATCAGGGGAAATCCGTACCATTTCCCCTTCGATATTCCAGTATGTCCCAATCATAGTGTTACTCCAGGGAAAATGGCAGCTGCCATTTTTTGTGAGGGTTGCCTTTCTTTTTCAATTCACCACCTAATATTCTTGAGAGTACAATGAACCTAGTTCGAATATAGCCATGCAGCAAACCATGCAAAGGTAACAGAGACATAGGAAGTTACCTCATAATAACTCAAACTATTGGTTCCATATTGCTCAATAATGTGGCTTTCCAACATTTTCAGACAGGGAGTCTTTTTAGCCATATCTGGACATGGCAAGGATTGAACCTGGAAACTTTTCCATGCAAAATATGTGGTCCACTACTTGGCTATGTCCCCTGCCCATCTCCCATGCTTATATGGTGCAGAAATCCATACAAATGGTTCTGCTGGCACAGACATAAAAACATGTACATCCTGGATCCTTGGAAATAATGGGAGATTGTGTTGTTAAGGAAGCAAAAACAGGTCGTAAATGCCCACATTTACATACCAGTCCGCTCCTACTTGGACATCAACCTCAACTCTCAGTGATCATAATGAAGGAGAGGGCCTATGGGGAGGAATTACCTTTGGTAGTAGAAAAGGGGAAAAATTAAACATTAAGCACTGTAGGGTCAATGGGCCATGACAGCTGTGCTGGTGAGGCAAAATTTAGCTACTCTAAAGCCAGGATGGATGTAAATTTCATTTGGGGCTCAACACTATTGAGCTGACCACCTGCCAGCTGTGTTTGTGGTACTGAATTTAGCTTTCATTTCTTTTCTTTCATGACTCAAATCTTTAACAGGCAGGCAAACACAACAAGCTCTTACTTTTCCATGCTGGAAACACCTGTACCTATTGAATTTGGCCAGTTCAGGTGCTAGAGAATTTCTTTAGTTCATTATTACTTTTAGAATTAGACCAAAATCCACAAATTTATTCATAAACAGGATGGAAAGAAGGTGAGTTTCAATAAGGGAAAAAATGGAATGTGAGGGACAGCAGCACTGATTTGTCCAGCTCTAATGAATGGCCAACAAATATGCTGTTTCGGTTCGCTAACAACAAATAAAGCTGAGAGCTGGAGTGTTCCAGCAAACCCAAGCTGGCAATTTCTGGTTCCAATCTCTGGCAGTTTCACCACAGGAAAACATTTCATAACTGCACAGGGCTGGAGTGCTTTATGCACATTTCAGGCTGAAGAGAGTTGCTTGTTTTTACAGGCCGCTTCTGAGGCACTTATACCCTGTAGCTTTCCTCTTTATCAATTGTCAGAATCCTGGAATCTCAGTTTGAGAAGAGGGAATAAAACTCGGGTTGGTGGGAAAGACCAAGCGTCCAGACCATCTTGGCTTTATTGTTTTACCCCAAGGTTCCCGCGGTACACTCACGATAATGCATGCCTGCATTACTGGGCAGGCAGAGATGAACTCTGCTGCAAAGCTTCAATACCATTACAGGGCATTTATAGGTACACAGGTGCAGGGCAGTTGATGACAGAATGCAGATTACAATAAGATTCTGAGGTCACCACATACAGAATAGATAAAGAAATGTCAGTCAATCACACTGTAACAATGAGATTACAATATTTATAAATGTCTGTATTGACACTTTAGTTGAGTAACTTGAACCCATCTCCAGGTCTGCTCAGACATGCAAATTCAAGCTACTAGAAACTATTCATGATAAGCTCAGACCCTTATCTCGACTCTAAACATTCTGCATGATCAGGGCACATGAAGCCCTCTGGGCTATCAAAAGATTATTGTAAACTGAATTCCAACAATGA